GACATGGTCACTTGGCTTTATACACATAACAGAAAATTTTGAGGTTTCACTCGTTCATTCAACCGGATCTTCCACGATAGCAGATCCGAAGGTAACGCAATAGCCTTCAGCTCAGGGTCTCTAAGGAGAGTGGCGCAGGTTGTACCGTGCACAAAGGTACCTTACTAAGGAAATGTGCTTTCGGCCTGAGTTTAGCTCCCCAAGTCATGGGTGTGGCATCAAGCTTGCACTGCCTGGCACCCCACCCTATACGGCACAGCTTTCTCTAACATCTCTACCCAGAGAAGGAATCTTCTCTCAATGTGCACCAAGGAACTGTCTGTGAAATCAAAGGGCCTTGCTTCTGTTTTTCTCTAGCATAATTTCCTATCTAAATTTTTTATTAAATTATACACAGCATTAGAAAAGGGATGGTATCCCATTTGTTTTTGTTTTCCCTTCATTTAGCACAGTGCCAGGTTCTTTGTTTGTTATTAGTGGAATCTGGAGACCAGAAAGTAATTGACTTGGGTTCAAAGCCAAGTCTTTGAACAAATAACTAGGGACGTGCCACGTACATAGGAGGCTATGAATCTGACACTCCCTGGAGCTGTGCACAGTCATATATCTTAAGGTGGACTCATAATTCTATAATGATGGACAGTGACATGATATTTAATGATCAGTTCAGTTCACTCACTCAGTCACGTCCGACTCTTTGCAACCCCACGGGCTGCAGCACACCAGGCTTCCCTGTCCATCACTAACTCCCAAAGCTTACTCAAACTCATGTTCATCAAGTCGGTGATGCCATCCAACCATCTCATCCTCTGTTGCCCTCTTCTCCTCCTGCATCCAATCTTTCCCAGCATCAGGGTCTTTTCCAGTGCATTGGTTCTTTGCATCCGCTGTACACTAAGTGCATTAAATTAATGTCAGATAAAATAATTTTCATGCACAATATCTGTCATTTATAATTCACATCAAGTAAATACTTTTATCACTATTTTTTAGATGAATTAACTGAGCTTCAGAGGATTAAAATTGGGCTTCCTGTGTGGTTCAGTGGTAAAGAATTCACCTGCCAATGGAGGAGGTGCAGGAAATGTGGATTTGATCCCTGGATCAGAATACCCTGGAGTAAGAAATGGCAACCCACTCCAGATCCTTGCCTGGGAATCCCATGGACAGAGGAGCCTGGCAGGCTACAGAACATAGAATCACAAAGAGTCAGACATAATTGAGCAACTGAGCATGTACACATGCAGAGAGTTAAAATTACTTCTTGCCCAAGATCACACAACAAATATTTTTCAAAGCCAAAATTCAAACACAGATTATTGTGATGACAAGGTATACAGATTATAAGTTATCCTCTTTTATATAAATATTTGAAAGAATTTTAATGAAAAACATGGTCTGTATATGATTGAGTCCTAAGGTAATAGATTTTTCATGACAATTACTCTAATAATACCAGGAAAGCATTCAAGTAATCATTTAATTACCAAAATACTGTATCATATTAAACTGTAAAAAAAAAAAAAAAAAGAATACAAGCCAATATATATTCACTATGACTTTTGGTAAAAAAAAAATATATAAAGTTTTGTATTATTCATTAAATTTAACTTTCAGCATGGAGCCAAACAAGCAAATAACCACTTAAGGTTCATTCGTTTTAACTTTGTAAATGTCCATTTAGGTGAGGGAAATAAAGGTTACGAAAACACAAGAGATTCTGTTATTATTTTTATTACACTAATGTATATAATATTTCATTATAGGGGACTGGAATGCAAAAGTAGGAAGTCAAGAAACACCTGGAGTAACAGGCAAATTTGGCCTTGGAGTACAGAATGAAGCAGGGCAAAGGCTAATAGAGTTTTGCCAAGAGAAC